TTAACAACATTTCACAATCACTTACACGCTGAAGTGATGTGGGGGGGGGCGAGGGGGACAGGTGTCAAAAGCAGCTCAGTGTCAGCCGTGGAAAACGATTTTTGATCAAATGCGGTCAGTCTGGGTGTAGAAACTAATTGCCAGTCATAGAAGACAATATATGAAAAACGTTAGCTTTAACTAGCGACTAACAGTTTTGAATTTCTCTCAATTAGTGAGATATCCTTACAATCCCTGTTCACGATTAGCCAAAAGCCAATAAGGGTCACAAAGAGATGGGGGAAATTTTGTTGCACAATGAGGTTTCTAAACGTGGACCTTCATTCCAGTATACTGATGACCATTGGAGTACCGTGCGCAGGCAGTTAGTGGGTGAACAGCAGCTCAAGGGTGGTCAAACTAGGACCTGGCACGAGGGTATGAAATCCTTAACCACTTGACTCGGTCATAGAGGTCCCTTTAGACTCCCTGGTTAGAGACCTCTAAATCATTGCAATCGATGGTCACAGACGCTAAGTGACTGAGTGCTGCTATTTGAAATTTGTTTATTTTTATCGCATCATTTTCTTTCTTTCCTTCTATCATATAGATGCTAATTTGGTTGTTTATGTTCATTTAAAAAAGTTATTGTTGAAAAAGTATTGAAAATCGGTTCTCATAGCTCGGGTGAACTGAATTCCATTTCTGTGGGAATGGAAATGGTTGTGATTAGCAACAAAGAGCACTGGACAGCTGTTTCGTCCTGTTTGGGACTCGTCAGCATTGCGTACTTTTTGTGTCCCTGTTAGGACTCGAACCGCGGTTCTTCGGGCTGGGACTTCCAACCCTTACCCTTGGGCTACACGGTTGATTAGATTGAGCCATTCGCACAAGGTGATAACCATCGACCGTGTAGCCCAAGGGTAAGGGTTTGAATTCCCAGCCCGAAGAATCGCGGTTTGTGTCCTAACAGGGACACAAAAAGTACGCAATGCTGACGAGTCCCAAACAGGACGAAACAGCTGTCCAGTGCTCTTTGTTGCTAATCACAACCATTTTCATTGCACAAAAATGCAAACAAACAGTGGGGAATTAACTATTTCCCAAGGAGTGAAACCAACATCGAACATCATCAACAGTGCCTGGTGCCTGTGAAAAACCGAATGGGCTAATCCAAACATTCAGCATTTAAATTCCATTTCGCCTGTTCTCCGAGCAATTGACAATTCGTTTGCAAACGTTTCATCATCAACAGCCGAGGTGACATCGTCAGTGCAGACTACCCATCCACCATATCTGTAAAACGGAACAGATGAGAAACTTTCTGGTTCTTTGATATCAGACATTATTAATAGAATCAAGTGCAAAATCTCTTTGTGGTATAGAAAAAGAGTGACATGTTTCAGATATCAGAGAATAAATTCCGCAGTTCTTTCTTGAGCCATGCTGTTTCGTTTTTAAAATGCATTAAAGAAAGTGGCATAGAATTTCTGTGTACGACACCACGACTTGGATTCATTTTCTGACATACCTCTTGACTCATCTAGCTTTAGTTCGGTGACTCAACCGACTGCTGGGTCGTTTTCGCGAGTTCGGTTGGAGATGTGTGCTCTGAGTTTATGCTGTTCGGTGTATTTATTTCTCACTCCAGTTCCCAAGATGTGAAAATGAAAATGAAACTACCAAAGAACAAGAGTACTGACTATTTAACCTCGAGGGAACCTAATTTTCACAGTCGTCAGTAACAAATACTTTCAGTGATAAATTTGTTCTGGCGAACTCGATCGACCTTAACGTATGGCCAATCTTCTATCCATTTAAATTCTGTTTCCTAGTTTTAAGTGGTATTGTAGATTCTCATTTCTAATCTTCCGGTTTTCCCGGGTTCATTTCATCCTTCTTTCTATCTCTCCCCCTCCCCTACGCGATTTACTTGACAACGAATTCCCTATTCATTTTTCTCCCTGACCCTTTTTTCAGCTTCACCCGGTCACGTCAAAAATCCGATTTCCGGCACGCGAGCACCTTTCTCAATTTAAACGACACAACCCAACCGCAGCAGCAGCAGAATCACAAGCGAACCACGTCCGTTCCTCTCATTGTACGGGTTATGTGGTGTATCTTGTTAGCTCGTTTTCCGAATCAATCGTTCATTTCTACCTGCCTCGATTAAAACGTTGGATATGGTCTCTTCAAACCAGTTCACCACACGTACATGCAACGCAACGGTTGCATTTGAGAATCTAGTCGATCAGATGATATGGTAATAGTGTGAAACCCAAGGAAAGCCAGTTAACTTGACCCAGAATCCGATGTTTTACACACTCGTGTTGCGCACATATTTATGGTTTGAGCAGACAGTCCCGAACATAAAATTCCCCTCTCATTTCGTTTGCTCGATATAACCGTCTTTTTTAATGTATTTTTTTCTGGTACACAACTACTCAAATAAGTGTAATTTCTCGGCAATTCACTGGGTTTGCCGGGATATCATTGCTCTCCCACTTGAACCTTATTTTGGCAGCCAAAAGACAGCAACCAAAACCGGCGCACGTAAGTGTATAGTTAATGGTTGTTTAAACTGAAAAATAAACCTTATTTAATTTAGTTGTTTATGATGATGATGATATCTTTTTATTTCCTTATTCTATTCTATTGAATATTTTCTATTTATTGAATACACAACTGTACAGTCAACATTCAGGAAGAGGGGACCGCGGCCATACAAAGGCTGCCTGGGAAGACGGGCGGCCTGTGGAGCGGTTCAAACCCAGTACTGACAGGTCACAAGTTGGTGACCTAACCACTTGGCCACCACCGCCCAATGCACCATGCAAATAAGAGTAGTTTTTCTTCTTTATCTCTTCCCCTCTATCCTGATGTTTCACTTCTAGCCGACATTTCCGAGATGTTAATCAATTCATTACCGCTACTGATTGTGAATCTGACCAGCTATAGTGACGCGGGCATTAGATCTTTCGATTCCGGAGGTCGTTACATCGATGGCGTTTTCTTTCAGGCGACTTTTTGTCGATGTTCAACCAAAAAGTTGGTTGATACTATGCATCCGGAATTCTCACTGTGCACCCGCCAAGTATCTCTTCTACTCGCATGTTCGTACCTCGTGCATGTTTTTCTGATTGAAAGAAGAGCTCCTATCATTGTGTCTCATACATCTATGAAAGATTTCCGCGTATATGGATAATAACGCAGTTTCCATTTCCCGGAGCTCTTTGAGAAGACTCGCCCGGAAAAGCATCGGATCAAACTTACTGGCTAACTGTTCAAAGGTTGCATGCGTACATGTCGTTTGCGAAAGCATTCTAAATAGCTGTGCAAAAGAAAACGTGACGCCTGTTCCCAGTTGTTCTCTGTCGGTAGTGATCAAGCGGCTTAGGTTACCGTTCCAGGGACACGAAGTTCAAATCGTCCGTCCGCTGCCCACCTTCCCCGATAGTCTATTGCCATAGGTAGCCTATGATTGGTCACAGCCGTATTCCTGAACCCCGACCGTGCTATTGTGTTTTCAATAAATAAGAAAAAAGTAGAAAGGATTATAACAAAAACGTCAATGGCTGGCGCAAAGGATAAAAACAAACGTTTGATGGACACATCCACCTCCATTCAGCACTGTCCAGTTTCCCTCACGGATTTCTATACTGTAACCTGTGCAAATAAGTTTGTCTTGTGAAATTTAGAGAAAATACTCACTGTGGTGCTGGAAAAGACCGTACATTTGCGTCCCCTTTGATGTGAATTGTCCATATACCTGCAGGATGTCATGATGTACGTGAACGACTGCAGATACCAAACTGTTTACTGATTAAATGTCGCTTTGTCAATGAAAAAGTACAATATCTGTTCCATTGGTTCACACGTCCGCTGGTGATATTGGTTCCAGTTTTTACAAACGAGTTATAGATAAACAGTTTATTGTGAGTATAGTGGTATGGGGTACATGCTACTAGTTTTGATTGAGAATTGCTGTGGTTTTGAAAGTCGACTACTCTACCCGTATTGGACTGGTGTTTCATCGAAGGTGAATTTCAACTGTAAAATTATCCCTTTTTCAGCCTAGATGGATTTTGTGGCCATAACATATAGATTTTTCAGAGCATGCTTCTCTTTATTTTAAAAGTAGGTCGAATTTCGGGAGGTAACTTTCTTCCGGCTGCGCACCGGACGCATGAAAAGGTCTTTTATGAAGAGACAGGCCCCATTCCAACCTGTTTGATTTCAAACCGATAGGCTTACGCTTAGCGAGATAAATAAAATTTCTCCGAAAAATCTTACTTACATCCGCGTTTGGGTGGACTATGAATTGTCGTGCAGCAAGTGAGTAATCGTGGCGGAAAATCAATTCCACCCAGAAAGAAAAATCGGATCGCTATTTTGACCTTGACTTCTCTACCCAAAAGCACAACTGTCCATCAAACACTGGCACCTGAGTGATAGTCAGCTAAATACGATCAGGTGTTTGGCGAGAACCTTTGTACGATTTCTCCGTGAAAAGAAAATGCGTTGACCACATCTCTCTCTCTAGCTAACGCACATGTGTTAAGTAGTTGAACAAATTCATGCTCGTACCGTCGTTGATTGGCATTTGTGGCCACGCTCGTGTGGCCTCAGCGTGAGGACAAAATCAAAAGTATTTTCTGTGCGATTGGGTTTAACTATTGACCCGTCAAAAATGTTCGTGTTTACAGCTGCAACCGCAGCGGCAGTGATGAAAACTTTAGTATCGCAATCGTCACTGCTTCAGTGCACTTTTTGAACTGTGCGCAGAACAGAACACATTTCGCCCTCGTCAAAAAAGTTGCATAATGATATACTGTAATTTGATCAATATTTTACTTTAATAGAAAAAGTGAATGCGTATTTAAATAAAGGTAATCGATTTCAGAATATCAAGCTTGGATTAGCCCATTCGATTGTTCACATGCATCAGGCACTCTATCCAAGCTAGATAATCTAAAATTGATTGAGACACTCGCACAAAGTGATGACCGTCGACCGTGTATCTAAGGGGTAAGGGTTTGACGTCCCAACCCGACTGATTGTGGTTCGAGTTCTCATACGGTTACACAAAAAGTGTGTGCACTACTTACGAGTCCACAAAACAGGACGAAACAGCTGTGTCCAGTGCTCTTTGTCGGTTACCACAAACACAAGGGAAACTACGTCTCAGCATGCACGTCGTTTACCCTCTTTGGTTACTGTCTTTCGGTGCGCCGTTTGGTCGATCTATGATTAGAAACCGTGAGTTGTTAGCAACAACAAGAGAAAAATACGGGATGTGCCTTACTGAAATTCTATACCTATACAGCTTATGGTAGACGAGTTGTGACACCCCATCAACTGCCGTGAAATCATCTACTGCAGAGTATAACTTTTGATGATACCTAAGATAAAGAGTCTTTGATCATTTTCGGATTTGTAGTCCTCTTCGTTAGTCGTACTTGTGATGCGGACTGCTTACCGCAGATAAATGCAGACACACTGATAGTTGTTTCATCTTTCCAATGTGAAAAAACGCGACCACTTTTTGGCATCATTTCCGTCAACGTTTTTCGTGCTTAATTCAGGATAACCGATTGTGTGATGTTGAACACGGTTTCCAAAACGTCGCTCGGAATCCGTCATTTGTGTCCCCAACGTTGGGCGGTACCCTGGCCAGACGTGCTGTGTCCGTGATACGCCGGGCGTTTACTCCAACTTTGCCACCTGCGGATGCGTCATCACCTGGGCACAATGCGATGGATCCTGAACCAGGCTTGTGGATGAGCACGGGTACTGCACATCCGGATACAAATCGACCAGTTAGGATTTCGGAACCGGCTAGAGTTGTTTTACCGAAAACTCCGCCCGACGCCCTGTTGAAGCCAACAAGTGATCTTGCCGGTCGGCTAAAACCAACCACAGAGATTGTGTCAGTACAAGTGAGTGCGATCGAAACCCGAAATCATGTGAATTAATTCTCCTTTTCATTATCTTATTTCTGCTCTAAAAGCAGTAGATATGGTGGTTACATTTATAGCAATGAAGCGTTGCATTTCAAATAAAGTTTTATCCGGAAAAATATCTATTCCACACATTGAATGCTTGTAATTGGGTGATTTAAGACACTTCATTTATGACCACACACCCACACACAAGTGGAGAACCATTGTGACGTGGTTCTTCAGCTCTGAATGTATCTATTTATCAGGTTGGAGTACTGCCCGGTCTTCGACGACCCATGCTGGCATTCATTCGATTCCAACGAGCTTTATTCGCCCCTGGCTTCACAGAGCTTCGCGATGCGCATCCCATTCGGTTTCTAATCTTGTTCTTGGGTCCTGAACGTCGTCATTTGGACTACAACGAAGTTGGGCGTGTCATTGCTACCATGATGATCGATAGAGTAAGTTGAATCCCAGCCTCGCGGGTAGTTTTCTTTCCCGTGATGCTTTTGTCTTTTTTAATTTTGTTGGTTCAGACGAACTATCATTTTTTCATGAGCGGTGTTATGGACGGTACCATAGAAACACCCTTAAAATTTGTGGGTGTTATTGCAATCAACTTCATTGCTTTACCCTTTACCACTTGACGAATTGATCAATCTACCCGTATTTGCGCTGGAATTCGCTGGTTTAGCGCAGTCCACCTTCCAAGGAGTTGCTTGACCGAAACAGAGCTGGCCAATTGGGGAGTTTGTTGAGCCTTCCATTTAAGCGTTCAAATCTGACATACGAGCGAGAATATTCACAAGTTATTTTCATAACGCTTGGGTAGGGGGCCTATCTTCACGATAAAATTGACAAGAACGTAGTAAAAGTAGACATTTTTTCCCACCTGTCGAGTTGATCGATCAGTTCCGGTCCACAAACGTGGCGGGGACGTTGTCGCATACACAAGCAACCATTGGCGCAATTCATGCGAACGAGTTCAATGTATTTCACTATTTTCACGAGCACTCCTCTATACTCGTGCAGTCCCAAGTTTTTACGTTCATATTTTTTTCTTTTTGTCCCATTGTTTATTCTAATGAGTTCACAGATTTTTGTTTACCGTTTTACTCAATTTAACTAGACTCTTCGCTTTGCATCATGTGTGGTAACTTAATAGGTTTGATGCCAGTATCTTGTTTATCGTTAGACAGCAGAACTTTGCTACCTTCCAAATCAGACTCGATTGTTGTCTCGATCTGTGTTTCGTTATTGAACCAAATTTATTTATCGTGCGCTGCCGTTTCCTCTACTGGTGGTTAAGGGGTTGAGGTCATCAAAATAGTAACCCGAAAGTCCCAAGTTCGAACCGCTCCACTACTGGCCATTGTCGCCATTTCTGTTATTTTTCCAGGCAGCCTTTGTACGGCCGCCGCCTCCTCCTCCTGAAAGCTGATTGTATTTTTGTATTTTCAATAAATATAAAAGGAGGTAGAAAAGACAAAGTCTTCTAATCATGCAATATTCAAACTATTTTCTATGACCTATAGACAATCTAACCAGCAGATATTTTTTTGGAAATCGGGACCTTTCGCTTCGTAGGCTTCAAAATCTCGACCAACTCAGCCTTATTAAATCAGATAGATTTCACACCATCTGTATACGTGACGACCCTTCAGTTTTTATGACTTCCTGACTGATTATCTGACGTTTGGCTATGATACGTGCTGTTCGTGGAAAACTTTGTACTCACAGCTAGATCGGGCGTCTGATCTGATGAACTGGACACGCCCCCAATGGATTGCGGTTCACACACACTTCCCCGATGTCTTACGGGCCAGGCTTTGGTTAGCCGAACGCTCCGGTTGTAAAGTTTCCAAAGAGATTCATTTACCTTAGAAAGGGAACCTGGCAGTATTCCGCCCAAAGGCAAATCTTTCGATATTTTCAGTTGCTCTTGTCTAGTGGGATCATCGTGTGAGTAATGACTAGGTTCGTCGTCGTGTGTTGGGTGTGGATAGTCACTCTCTAACAGAAATAATCGCTTTACGTAGCCTCCGATGGCTTGACCACGTTTTGTATATGCCTGCCTATCGTCTACCCTTCCGTGCTCTTTTTGCACATGCCGGGCAATGCTGGAAGAAGCACCGCGGTGGTCAGACCATGACATAGCGTAGAGGTATGAAGAAGCTGGCTTCAGCTGTGGCTTCGATTGGTACAGGTGGTCTTCCAGGTTGAGGCCCAGGGGATGAGGATTGTCATTGGTTAGTGACGCTGAGAGATGTAGCCCAGAATGAATTCATTGGCCTGAATGCTGTACGGTCTGCCCGTTGAAGTTCCGTACTCTATATAAGACAATAAATTACCTCACAAAAATATCAAAAAGTGTACGATGAAACACATACGAAAATTTTTTATCCCAGTTGTCTACAATTTTGCATTTTAAGTTATTCGCCTTCTCATTCTGTTCTGCATCCCGATTCACTTATCCTCTGTTATTGTTGTTGCCATTATTGTTGTAATGCTGGAATCATGCTTGTCAGCTGGTGTTCAATAAATAATAATAAAGATTATTGTTCTATGGTTTCTTTGATACACAGTATAAAGATATATGTATATATACTTGTTACCAACTGTACCGGATATAAAATTATTCTTAATTTTTTTCACATCGTTCACTCGTTATCTGGTCTCCTCTCCCAAATAGGTATTTCGTCGCACCGCGTATACCGCTGTTTGTCGTGAGGATTTGCTCGATGGACTGCGTACCTTTCTCGATACGACCATAGTCTTGCCTATGCTCAGTGAAATCACGCCAAAAAGTCTTCTGGCTATGCACGATCAACTCCGCCTGTTTCGACGCCATCGATTAGCTCAGCTACGCTCACCTAGAACGGGCGGGATCGTGGCACCCGTTTCGAATAAACCGAGGCGATTACATGTGCGAGGTGACTCGAAACCAACAGAACGAGGTATGTTTCGCTGCATCCCCATCCTTGGTGAATCCTAATCATACTTCAAGTTACTTCTCAGAATCAGCCGTGACTATTGGTTTTTGTAATCACGCATACGCATGTGCTCTGTTCTAATTTATAGGAGGACCTTTTTATTAGCATATTGTTTATAATTATGAATTGTGGAAAAAACAGCTTGTATGGTACTCATTTCAAAAAGGTAACTCCTCAGTTGATCATGCTAAGTCAAGATGGTTCCGGATCTCTCACATGTGCGATTCCCGCTCACTTGGTAGGCACTGGTCATCGTGAAGCATTCCGCATTATTTATCAGGTTCCCTCGAACCGGTCGAAATATGTTAGAATGCTTGCGTTGGCCATGCGAGGCCATCTGTATTAAACATTTGACCCCCGAACTGTGTGCCCAGAAGCGTCATCCAAGCTCTTAATCTGCCTTGGGTTCGCGAACCCATCCCTCCCTCGTGCCCCCCCCCACAAACACTTTTTCACACAACAGTACCGATCCCTCAGAACTGGGTCACACGATAAATGTTTCATAACTGAGACCCCCGGATGCACAGATCTGAGAATGCAGTGTGCAACACACACAGACACGCATACACGAAGTGAACGATTCCCCACATTTTATTGTTCTCCTTCCAACCCCCGGGTTTTTTCCCTCGTATAAACTGTAATGCCATATAATTTTATTGACCGAATAAAAAAAACACGGTTTGTTTTCCGTACAGTAGTGGTGTTGCCCAGGCCATCGAAAACAACGAGCTGAAACAAATTTGGCCATATGAAAATCAATAGTGTCTATCTGGCTCATACGCATAGAACGTCGTTTTAGTCTCATGTGAACACGCGAAGTTTGGATTCAGTGGCGCTTAAATGAACACATCTATTTTCTGAGTTTAACTGAACGAAGATGCATTTTCTCCGTCTGCTAACCATAACATAGTTCGTAATTTTGTTATCTATTTAGCGTTCTGTCTTTTATCCTTACCTTTTTGGCATGTCGTTTATTCTGCGTCCAGGGGCACAATTCAAGGACAGTTGTCAAGGTAAACACAGGGAGGAAGTTTCACGGACTGTTCGGGAAGAATAGGTGTATGTATTTCCCCAATTCTATTTCACTGAACCTCTTTATTTTAGCAAATAAAATGAAACTTTTTGACCTCAACCAGGCACATGAGATGATCCTGAGCAATCAAGTGCGCTGTTTACCGTTTCATACCAAGCTTCAGGCTATCTGCTTCATGTGTTATTTAACCGGCCTTTACCCTTTATATCGACCGATGAAAACGTGGCCTGCGAAAAGAAAGGTTTACCTTATACAAACAATAACAACTTGGACATCAATAGCCCACCAACTGAAACTCTCTTCTAATATTTCGACTGTATTATGTGCCGGAGTAGATAGGGCGACCTGTCTCCTGAACTAAGTTGTGTAACACTGCGCTTTAATCGCGGAGCTGTGTTAGAGTTCCCATTTGAAGCCATATGCAATATATACCTCGAAAATTGTCTCAGAGTCTCGACATCTTCGCTTAAACTTCAAAGATTCAAAGATTTATTATGGGAATAACTTACAAGCTCATGCTTTTCTGGTCCCATAGGTTCGTGCGGTGGATTAAGAAACAGTGATACATACAATTCTTTTTGTAAACTGTCACGTGATACGTGCGTTTTCCACTGCTTCACTCAGCTTCACTTATGTTGGAACGTAAGATGTGCTAGTGTTTCATCGAGCCTCAGTTTGAAAGGCTCAANGGAGCACAGACGACGTAGGATGGTAGAGAGTTCCAGATCGAACACACTGACTGCGAATGACTGACGCCGGCATTCCAAGCGGCATTTTGAGACCACTAGTTTAAATGAATGTCCTCTAAGATGAACGTTGGGTGATAGTTTCAGAAGCGGGCGACACAAATGGCTTGGGTTTTGCATTATTTGGTACACCATAATCATATCTCCTCTGATGCGCCGGTG